TGGTGGATCTATGCCCTAAAGTTCCTAAACAGGACAATAGCAGTGATTGTGGAGTATATTTATTGCAATATGTGGAAAGCTTCTTCAAGGTATGTGAAGCTATGAATAAGTTTCTAATTCACGATTACCACCATGCAGTCACAAGTTACTGAGTGTAGTAGTCCGTTCTCATGCTGCTAATAAAGACATACCTGAGACTGGGTAATTTATAAAGGAAAGAGGTTTAATTGTCTCACACTTCAGCATGGCTGGGGAGGTCTCAGGAAACTTACGATCATGGTGGAAGGGGAAGCAAACATGTCCTTTTTTACATGATAGCAGCAAGGAGAAGAATGAGAGCTGAGCGAAGTGGGAAGCCCCTTATAAAACCATCAGATCTCGTGAGAACTTACTATCATGAGAATAGCATGGGGGAAACCGCCCCCATGATTCAGTTACCTCCTACCAAGTCCCCCCTACCACAGTGGGGATTATAGGAACTACAATTCAAGATGAGATTTGGGTGGGAGCACAGCCAAACTATATCACTGGGTGAGCAAAGAGGCAGGTCAATGTTACAGGTAATCAAGATTTTTTTTAAAGAGAAAGAAATAGAACCACAGTTGATCCAGATACTGTAATTAGCAGATAAGAACTTTAAAATGATTTGATTAATAGGTTAGAGAAGATAAAGCCAAAGATGAAACAAAATGGATGAAGACATGGAGTATACAAAAAAAAAAGAAAAAATCAAATAGATGTTCTAGAGCTGAAGATGTGTAATGACATATCTGAAATTAAGAACTTATTGGACGAGTTTAATAGAGGACTAGATACAGTAGAAGACAGGATTAGTGAAATTAAAGGACAATAAAGTATCCAGCGATAGCCCAGAGAGAAAAAAGAATGTAAAGAAGAGAACAGAGCTTAAGAGACAAATATGACACAGTATAATTTACTGTTTGAAAGGTATAATTTACATGTTACTGGAGTCCCAGCAAGATTGGAGAGAAAGAGAATAGGGCAGAGACAGTATTTTAAATAAAATTTTCTAAAATGGAAAGATCTGTTTATTCAAGAAGCTCAGAAAACTATAGCTGGAGAAGTACAATGACAAACATAGGTGTTATTTTCTAGTTCACAGAGACTTTGTAGGAACTGTAGCAGTATTAAAAATGAAATTTTAAATAGCAAGAAATCACTCTTTGCTTTTTGAACTGTCAGCTCATTACTTCATTATTTACGAAGATGGGTCTAGTAGCAGGATGTCTTTGACCAGAAGTCGGCTTGGAGGATGCTTAACGGTACTTAGAAAGCATGAGAGTTATAATATGCAGCTGCAACTTTTTGATGTCTTTAATATGAGAGAGGAAGGATAATATATAGTAAAATACAGTACACATTTTGGAAATCATTAAATATCTATTATGTTGGTTTTTTTCCTCCCTTTTTTATTCTACACTAGAACTTCATCATCGGGTGTCAGGTTCTGGCCCTCTCATAGCCTTTCCAAATAGATGTGATTTTGTGTTTCAAATATCCAGATTGCCTTATTACATAATGTATTCCGAGTTTGTTTGTTACATAATTCTACTTTATATAGCCCAGTCAATAGAATATACATCTAATACAGGATGAAGCACCATGTAAGATTCCTGGGAAAACCCTCAAAAATCTAAGCCTCGTGTTTTGTAAATTTGGTGCACTAATATAAGATAGCTTAGATTTAAAACATGGGCTTAAGGCAGATTGCTCAAAACCTATGGGACTTTATAAGTAAGCCCTAATAAAAATAATATTACTTCTAATAAAAATATTGGCACAGTAAATTTCCACTAGCATTTGCTCCTGGACTCACAGTCAGTCCATCCTTTCAGCCATGTACCCTGGGCTCTTAATTCCTTCTTCAAGATGTAAGTCCTTCTTACCTCTGATTTCTAATAATTTTATCAAGTTTATAAACATATGCTAAGGATAGCCCTTTTCAGAATTTTTTTTTTTTTAAACACGGGGAAAACGTCCTGTGGTTGCAATTTGCGATTTCCTGGTTAAGCTTAACATCATTGAAACAGTAGTGATTCTTGAAGCCATAAGTCAGCTATTTCTTACACTGAAAGAAGGCACTTTGCAGGATTTTCCATTTTTAATCTGAGATTTTTCATTAACTACTAAGGCTTTCTCTTTAATATTTCAAAATCTTAACATGTTGGGAAAAGTTGTGATAAAACCAACTTCATTCTGAATCATTCTTTATTTACCAATTCTGTTTGTGCTAATTCACTTAAACATACATTGTAGCAGAACAGAGTATTTAATTTTGATATTTAGAAGTTAGCAATTTGATAAAAATGTTGTAAAATTGATTGTGGAAGTAGTTACACTGTGAATATACTAAAAATGCTCAATTATATGCTATTGGTGAATTGTATTATGTGAATTATATCTTAATATAATTGTTATTTTTAAAAAGTTAGCAATTTGTCATTTCTTATAAAAATGAAGTTAAAACAAATCTGAAATTATGCTGCTAAAGTGATTGCACTCTTTTTTTCCTCTCATTAGGATCCTATTGTTAATTTTGAACTTCCAATTCATTTGGAGAAATGGTTTCCTCGTCATGTAATAAAGACCAAACGGGAAGATATTCGAGAGCTCATCTTGAAACTTCATTTACAGCAACAGAAGGGCAGCAGTAGCTAGTTAATCTGTACAAACATGACACAGATGTTCTCTAAGATTACTGGAAAGCCTCTTACCAGCATTTGTGTTAGCCAGCTCACAGAGAAGAAAATAACTTGGAGTAGTTTTATAATAAGTCATTGGAACATTATTTAAAATACATAGGATATATTATTAGAATTGTTGGGATCTTAAAAATGGAGTGGGAATGGGGGTGATAAAGATAAACTTATTAGATATAAATTAAAATTTTATAAATATTTCATATTTTTCTGAGTAAATATGCTTGGATTATGCAGTAGCACATGTAATATGGGAATGTTTTGTAGATAATAAAACTTACGTGATCTGTACTTCCGTATGACTGGGTGTTGAGGGGAGTGGAAGCCTCCCTGGTGCCAGCCCCAGTGCTTGTCAAATTTGTTGGCAAGTCACATCATATTGTAATTCTATTCTTTGCAGCTCAAGCATGCAGTATGAATACTGTGTATTTTTAAAAAAAGAATTTAGTATCAAGGCTTCAGAAAATGCCATTTATGGCATCCCTTCTGTATGTAACAAAAAGACATTCTTAATGTTAGGAAGATTATAAAAATTTGCTCTTTTAAAGTGCAGCTTATTATTCTCAATTGCTAAATGCGATTACTCTGTTCTTTTTTTTTTTTTTTTTTTCATTTCTTTTGATGTCATATGTGAGCATCCTATAATTTAGTTCATTTGTTCAGGGTAAAATCTGAAACAAAAAATTTTACCTGTGCAAAATAGTTTTTAAAAAATTATCCATATAGCTCAACTTGAGGTACTGCTATATAAATATTCACTCTTACATTATCACGGAATTTATGTATAGTTTCTGTAATATAGAAGATAAAATTGGTGTCCTCATAACTTTAACAAAGAATACCCTCAGTCCTATTTATTAATGGTTAGAATTAAATATATAATTTTATAGCTCAATTTACCCAGTATTCATTTGCAAAGCCAGATTGCTCTTACTGCTTTTATATTTTTAAATTGTAGCTTTTAGAGACTTATGATCCTCATGGAACTTAATTTTTTATTAAATATTCAGGTAACAGTTCTGAATTCATGTGATAATGGTGGCATTGTGTATGATTAAGCACCTCAGAACTTTCTAATGTTATCAGGAGTATTTTGAGGGAGATATGATTATATTGTATTTTCTCAGATAAGAAAAATGTTTTTTAACAATATTATTTTAATCTGTTTTAAGCATCTCTTAGATTTACATTATAACTATGTAAAGCAGTGAAGCAAAGGCAATTTAAGATAAAGCTAGAAAGTCTGAACATTTTATTTCCAAATCATATGAATTGAGGTTGTCAGTTAAGCCTCAGTATTCTTAGCTTTTGATTTTGTCACTATCTTTATATTATTAAACATATTTGTCTTTTGGATATTTCATATAAAGATGGCTATAATTACGTATTTCATTCCCAGTTTGTGTGTGTTGGGGGGTACTTTTAAAGGTGACTATTGTTTTGTACATCTAATTTTGGGAAAGCAAGTCTATAAGTCATCTTGTGATTTCTTAACGTTTTTGTTTGTATGTTTTTCAAAGATACCACTGTCCTTTATCATGTTTTGAAGATTGTTTAAAATTCATTTTCCTAAATTAATGTGCAAATAATGTTTTGAGGATATCAATGTTTTATATTAAACGTATTTCCAATTCATTAAATTGAGGTGTAATTTTTTTACTTAAGAAACATGAGTTACTCTTAGAAATAAATTTCCAGTTGTATGCTGCTCTGTGTATATCGTGAAATTGATGCTTATATTAATTTTTCTTCATAGTTTAATAAGCATATAGTTTATTTGAGTGTCATTTCAGTTCAGGGAAATTATTTTAGCATCTAATACTAGCAGGCATTTTGCTAGGCACAAAAAGTGAATGATATCTTTTGTTCCTGAGTCATTTATGGACATGTGAACATTTTAAATATTTTCTGGTGAGAACAACCATAGAGTTGCTTTGGGAATGCAGGAGGGAGCTCAGCCTAGAGGGGAGGTGTGTGTGTGTGTGTGTGTGTGTATGTGTGTGTGTGAGGCGGTAGAGAGGCAGAGAGAGGGCTGTTAGTGAACAAAGCAAGCCTTCCTAGAGAAGATAATATTATTTTAAATTCACAGCTCCTAGGATGTTACAAAAAGAAAAAAATAGAAAAAATTAGCCAGGCGTGGTGGCGGGCGCCTGTAGTCTCAGCTACTAGGGAGGCTGAGGCAGGAGAATGGCGTGAACCTGGGAGGCGGAGCTTGTGGTAAGCAATATCGTGCCACTGCACCCCAAAAGAATGAGGAGATCCCTGGGCGACAGAGCGAGACTCCGTCTCAAAAAAAAAAAAGAAAAAAAAAAAAAGTTATTTAAATCATATCCAATCACCTAATTAGGACTTTAAAAAAGTTTAATACCTTTTGAAATCAACTTATTTTATGCCAAGAGGAAAAATAGGTTTAGACTTGGCATATAGAACCCATCCTTAATCTTGTTCCAGCCTATATCCTATTCTCATCTTTCCATTGTCCTCTACTTTTGCAGTTGTATAAAATTATTCGTTCATGCATTTAGGTACTTCCCTCTGCGGTCTCTTGTAACTAAGCTTGTCCCTGTGGAAATTTGGAAACTTAGCCCATGCGTTGTTAAGAGGCACAGTTCTGTGTGTATGAGGCTTCTGTCTGCTTCTGTGGCCTGCTCCCACCCAGATAGTCTCTTCTGTTACAACTTAGTGCATCGTTCTTGGGGGCTGGAAAAATCAGAGTCAGGGCTTCTATAAAGACTCCAGATGAAGATGTACTTTACTTGAAATTGTTATTATAACACTGTTTCCTGTGCCGTGTTTCTCTACAAAGTAAGCGTGGAGCCACGTTTTGGACTGTTGTCCCATGAGTGTGAATGTCACTTTGAACCCAAGACTACAGATGCTTGTGTGGAGTGGGGGTTGTGACATTGTACCTCCATACCTTTTCACCACTTCTTGTGAACTTTATTTTTTCAAAATTGAACTTAAATGTTACCACCCCTACACCTACTCAAACAATAATTCATTCCCCCTCCTGCTCCCCTGTAGCAATACGTATATACTTCTCTAATACTGTTTTATATTATTTGTATACACGTTTTTCTCCTTAGACTGTAAGCTCCTCAGAGACTGGAAGCATTTTTCCATTTCTGGCATTAAGTATCTTAGTAGCATATAGTAAACACAGAAAATTTTGTTGAGTCAATAATGATCCTTGACTGATTTGTAATTAAGTTTAGATGAAGGAATCTGTATTTGTTGTCTCTAAAGCACAGAGTTTTATGTTTAGTTTCTCATATGCTTAAGATTTCTTGAAGCATAAAAGGTTCAAGGACCATCCTATGAGATTTTGAAATATTTCCTAAAAAGAATGTCCTTAAATAAAAGCTCAACGAATATATTTTTTGAGTAATTAAACATTAGAGAGATAATCTGTTTCATCTGTAGGAAAAAAATCCAAAATTCTTGCTAAAACTTTGAAGGTATTCCATAATCAATCTCAACTTTTCAGCCTTCATTCCCAATCTATTCGCTGTATGCTCTTATCCTGCTCTAGCAAATATCTTCCTATTTTCTTTATAAAACAGTGTACTTTTCCACCTTATTGATCACTACCAGGGATTTCTTTCCTAACTCTTAGTTCTTCCCACTAACAATCCTTCTGCCCACTGAAATACTGAAATGCCAAGTAGGCCATTCAAGGCGCAGCTGAAATACCCACCCCCTGCTTCCCCCCGACCCCCTTTCTTTTTCTAATTAGAGTTACCCTTGCTTTTGGATTCCTATGACACAAACTTATAGCAGGCATCACCTGCTTTGTATCATAGATACAGTTACTCTAAGAATGATGCAGTTCAAAGTTACAAATAAATGTTAAGTTAAATTGAATTTGTAAAATGGTTATATTTAGAAACAAATGAACCCATCTAACTTCTTATACTTCTTTTTTTGAAGTACAATTATACCAACTATATTTTATAGAACATAATACATGTTTTAGAAGTTTTTATGTAAATTATTTGAAATATAAGTTAATGGAAAATTTATTTTGGAGCTTGAACAAAATAGAATTTCAAAGCTTGAAACATCTTTGGACTTTGTGAACACTTGTAATACAAAACAATTACTGTTTACGAAGTTTACTAGTAATACAAATACATACGTTTACAGAGAACTTTCATATCTCTTAATTCTTGACAATGACCCTGTGATACAGGTAGAGATTATCACGTGTAATTTCTTTGGTGAGCAAACCAGCTTGAAGAGCTTAGGTTATTTACCAAAATCAAATAGTAAGTGATAAAACCAGGATTTGAGCCCAGGTTTACTCAGTCTAAATACAGGAATCTTTCTAGATTACTATGATTCTCAGTTTTTTTAACTTTTTGGTCAAGGCCATCAAAAAGAATAATTTCCAACTAATATTTGTTACCTAAGAGTTGTCCCTTGTTCTGAATTGTCAGTATGAAGCTTTTCTTAAGATTAAACTTTGACTTAGCTAATACAATTTTTGGCTTTTTTTCTCCTACCATACAATAAATTTGGCAAGTAAGTTTCTTATAAACTTACCAGTATTTTGCAAATGCAACTATGCACATGTATTTAATGGTCATTTAGGTTTGTTAGCTTTTATAAAGGCTGAAAATGTGGTTTATTTGAGGCTGTATTGAAAAAATATAGTTGAGCTTTTCCTAAAGCATAAAATAACATTGAGGGTGATTTAGCTAACACAATTAGTCAAGGATTCTCAAGAGAAATGTGGTTTAGATCTTTACAATACGCTTTTTTTTTTTTTAGAGGATTTTCCCAGAGATAACATGAAATAAAATATAATCTCATTGCTATTTGATAGTAAATCCTAGCTTCCACAGATATTCTGATGAATTGCTTTCTACTAGGTTTATTTGATTTAAAAAACTGTTCTAATATAGAGAATTTCATCTGCAGAGAATATCTTTTCTTGGTTAAGAGTTCCTCATATAGATAAACACACTGGGTCTCACATTTAATGACAAATTAAACAACAAAGTTATCGCACAGCTATCATTTATATTAAGTGCTTAGTATGTTCTGGGCACTATTCTAAGAAATGTGAAGATCAAATTAGTTAATTAGTTAATTTAATCCTCACATTAGCTCTACCATGAGTTTACTATTTCTATTCCATTTTATAGGAAAGGAAGGAGACAGAGTAAGTGATTTTTCTAAGGAAGGAAATTTGCAAGAGAGTAGTTTCATTACAAAAACTAAATTTGTATGTAGCTCTGTATTGAAGTAGGTAGGTATAGTCAGTCTATACCATTATTCTTAGTGGACTGCTTGTTAAAGGCAAGGAGAGTGTTAGTAAAGAGCTTAGCTAGATTAGAAAAAAGAAATTGTCTCTCTCCATCTGTTCTAATTAGCTTATCTCACCAGCTTTTATAGCATGCTGGTTATTTCAGAAAAGAAGTGACAGCTACTTCGAAAGGGCAACCATTTTTCTTTACGCTAATTTATAATGGTTTTGAAGTGGTTGTTCATTCGCAAACATAGACTTTTAAATGTTAAGTCTTTCCTATAACTCTTTGTTATTGGAAGTTTCGAGGATTTGGACACTCAGTTAAGGATTTTGTCCTCTCCTCATTCCTTTGGTTTTGGCCCAAATGATTATGTTTCCTCTTTTTGGGAAGATTTCTCTGGGTATTTTGATATTTGTCCTGATAGGAGGAGACTTTTCATCGTTAACAGGTATTTAAAAATCTGCATTTGTTTTTATCTTTCCATGTTTATAGTATATGCTCTTCAAAAATAACATTATTTGATATGATTGCTGCAAGAAATTGAATCAAATACTACTTTATTAATCCTTGATATTGCTTCATTTAAACTGTTTTAAAATATCTCCAATAATTTTGGTTTTCCCTCCTCATTAGTAATTTCTGGTTTAGACCTTTTTTTATTTTGTTGAAATTGGATGTGTATTTACTTGATTTTGATAACAATCTTGAATGAAAGGAGTGGGAGTTAAATGGAAAAAGATTGAATGCTTCACTCCTCTTTTCCTTAGATATGCCTGCCTGCCTATGATTTGGGCATTGGCTTCTATATCTTAATGTAGCACAAGCGTCAGTTTTTCTTTAGTTGTTACCTTTTGTACTGTATCTTCATTATCAGAAGACTTGACTATACTTTCATTCTGTAGCACAAACCTACTTATCTTTAGAGGAGATCCAAGAACCCAAGAGTGCAGTTTCTTTTCTCCTGCCTGAAGAATCAACAGACCTTTCTCTAGCTACCAAAAAGAAACAGCCTCTGGACCTCAGAGAAACTGAAAGACAGTGGTTACTCAGAAGGCGGAGATCTATTCTGTTTCCTAATGGAGTAAAAATCTGCCCAGATGAAAGTGTTACAGAGGCTGTGGCAAATCATGTGAAGTATTTTAAAGTACGAGGTAAGCAAACATCCAAATCCTTCAGCTCCATAATGAAATTCAAACATAGTTTAATCATTTGTTAGGTAACATTGTAAATTAAAGTTTATGATAATTTAGACAGGACTAAGCCAAAACTACCTTTCTACTGCTAAGAATATAGTGCTAATGTAACTTCAGAGAACAGTTTACATTAAGAGAGGAGGTATTTTTTTTTCCAGTGCCCTCCAACAAAGGCAATAGTATCATTTAATAGTGACATGCACTTAACCAAAGGAAGAACATTCATGATTTGAGTTTGTAGCTTTTGGTGCATTATGTAAGAAACTTTTTTCACATGAGGGCAGTCACAATAAGATGTCTTTCATTAATTTCAATAACATATTCAGAAAGGAAATGTCTTAAATCTTTTTAAGCACTTCAAAAATACCAGTTTATGTTTTGGACTACATTAATTTTAATTTTTACTTCTTCATTACAGTAAATGCCTAAGTATACCCACAAAATAGCTCTACCAAAGTATACTCACATGCCTGTGTATTTATTAATAGTTATTATATACACAAATATAATCAGTTTCTATATTTTATAGTTTAGATATTCTACAGATTCACGCAGGTTGCTCTCTAGTTGGTACACATAAAACTTTTTACATCTAAAGTGATGGCATTTCTGAAACTCACATTTTATTTTGTCTTTAATTAAACGGTATTCTTGATCTCATACTTTTTATGTAAGTCAATTCTGTTTCTCATATATTTACTAACATTGTTTAATTGACCTTAGTATATCCCTTAGACATTTGAAGGATTCCCAAACTTTGCTTTTTACTGCTCAAGAACCAATAAAAAGCCATAATATGGATGTGATGTTAGTAAACAAGGTGGAGATAGATGATGAAGTGATTGTAAAATTAGGCTTTTAAATTCATGCATTTGTTCATTAATTCATTCAACAAATGTTCATGGAGCCTGAATTCTCCAGGCACTGGATTATATGAACCTTCTGTCTGAGCTGCTACTTTATCTTCTTTATTTTCCTCTTCCTGTCCTTCCCTTCTTCCCTTCTCATCAAAGTTTTAAAAACACAATAAAAATTTAATATAATACCAGCTATTACACATATTTATATATTTGATATTTTTGTTTGTTAAAGTAGTACAATGTATTATATTGGCAGCTCTTTTTTATGAGTGTATTTCTATTTCTTGATTGTATTTGGGAGCTATCAAACATTACTGTGCAATAAGCTTTCCTTTTGCTTTTTAAATGGAGATCCATAGACCTGGCATTTTGAATATAGGCCATATGCCAGAAATGGAAAATTCCAAAGACAGTGGGAAGAGAATAAAGGAACTGAAGGTGAATGAGAATGACAGTTAATTTATCAATATTTGATTTCTACCACCTGGATTTTTACTTTATACTATTATTATTTATTGTTACCATTTTTTGGAACAGACTCTCATTCTGTCACCCAGGCTGGAGTGCAGTGGCATGATCTCGGCTCACTACATCCTCCACTTCCTGGGTTCAAGTGATTCTCCTGCCTCAGCCTCCCGAGTAGCTGGGATTATAGGCACATGCCACCGCACCTAGGTTTTATTTATTTATTTTTTTTGTATTTTTAGTAGACATGGGGTCTCACTGTACTTTATATTATTTTTAAATAAAAATATCTTGGTATTTTGGGAACTGATTAAATAGTGAAGAGGAAATAACCAATCATGTAAGGGATTTGGTCATAACTTTTGATTGACTTGCTCTTGTTTTTATAAATTCAAGAGATACTGTTGAAAAAGGAGCTGACAAAAATAAAGATAAAGCATTCCTAGAATAATTGATTTTAAAATACAGATGCTATGAATAGGATCCTTGAAAAGGGATCTCATACAGCTAAGATGCTTGGCACACGACATCAAGATTATAGCTGAGAGAGCTGTTACTGGTCATGGTAAAGAATAAATATTTCATTTGTTATGTTTTTAAAATTTGAGATAAATGAGTATTTCAACATAGGTCTCGCTTGATTTTGAAGAGATAATTGTATTATGCCCTTAACACCAAATGCTTGCAATTTAGAGGGAGGGAGTTATTCAACGTCCAACTAAGGATCTTAGCTCTTTCTACCAAGCCAATTCAGTCTAATGATTTGCTCAATTTTTCCTTCATACAGAATTTGGCATCAATTGCTAGTTTTTGTAACAAATTTGAAAAGTGTTTCTAAGGAGGACACAATTGTATTTAACCTATGTTTTGTAAAATTAAACAGCATACTAGGATGCCCCTCTCTTTCTTTAAAAAAAAATTTGTTGTTGGACTTTTTAAAATATAGCTTTATTGAGGTATATTTTAATGGAATAAAGCCTGCATATATTTAAAGTATATTATTTCATTAGTTTTGACAAATTTACCCTTGAAACCATCTTATAGTTAAGATAATAAACCTATCAATCACTCTTAAACGTTTCTTTATGACCATTTATAATGCCCACCTCCTTCACTACCTCTCCTCACCCCAATACTGAGGCAACCATGAATTTGCTTTCTATCACTATGTATTAGTTTGCATTTTCTATACATATATATATACACACACACACACACACTTTTTGGTATGTACTCTTTTTTTGGTCTGGTTTCTTTTACTCAGTGTAATTATTTTGAAATTTATGCATGTTTTTTGTGTATCAATAGTTTGTTAGTTTTTATTGTTGGGTAGCATTCTATATTACGGATATACCACAATATGGGATATTTGGGTTGTTTTTCGTTATTACTGATTACAAGGAAAGAAATTATGATCATTTGGGTACAAGTTTTTCCGTGAACATATTTTCATTTCTATTGAGTAATAATAGTGGAACGTCTGGGTCACATGATAGGTATATGTTTAACTTTCCAGTAAATTGCCACGTTTTCCAATATGACTGTGTCACCAACAGTGTAGCAGGATCCCATTTTCCTCACATCCTCACAACACTTGGTATAGTTGGTCTTTTTAACTTTAGCCATTGGAGTGGATGTATATCTTATTGTGGTTTTAATTTGCATTTTCTTAACTGCTTATGACTAACAGTTTTGAGCACATTTTTAACATAATTATTTGTCATTTATATATTTTTTTTGTGAGGAGTCTATTTGAATATTTTGCCCATTAAAAAATGGGTTGCTTGTCTATTATTGAGCTGTAATAGTTCTTAATGTGTTCTAAATGTAAGTTCTTTGTCAAACATATATTTTGCGTACATTTTTCTCGCCATCTGTAGCTTGCCTTTTCTATTTTCTTAACGATGTCTTTTAAGGAGCAGAAGTTTTAACACTTGATAAAGTCAAATTTATCAGGCTTTTTGGGGGAGCATCCTTTTAGTTTTTGATCTTAGTTTACATAACCCAAGATCACAAAGTGTTTTCTTTCTCAGTCTTTTCCTGTAGAATTTTTACAGTTTTTAGGTTCTAGATGTAGATCTGTGATCTGCTTTAATTTTTGATTGTGGCATACGGATCAAAGTTAATATTTTGTATATGCAGAGCTACTTGTTCCAATACCATTTGTTAAAAAAGATTATCCTTTCATGCTTTTGTACCTTTGTTGAAAATCATTGTTCATATATGGTGGATCCATTTCTGCACTCTTCATTCTGTTCCACTTACTTGTCTATTTTTATGCCAATACCATAGTGTCTTATTTACTGTAAGCTTTATTATAGGTCTTGAATCAGAGAGTGTAAGTCCTCCAACCTCTGTTCTTTTTTCAAATTTGTTTGGTTATGCAGTCTTTTATATTCCATATAAATATTAGAATCAGCTTACCAATTTTTACAAAAGGGCTGCTGACATTTTGTTTGGGATTGTGTTTCATTCTATAGATCAATTTGGGGAGAATTGCCATCTTAACAATACAGATTGACTATTTCTCATCCAAAATGCTTGGGACCAGAAGTGTTGTGGGTTTCATATTTTCTTGGATTTGTGAATATTTGCATAGACATGAGATATCTTGAGAATAAGACTGAAATCTATACACAGAATTCATTCATGTTTCATATACACCTTATACACTTATCTGAAGTAATTTTATACAATATTTTTGATAATTTTGTACACAAAATAAGTTTTTGTACATTTAACCATCAGAAAGCAAAGGTGTCACTATTTCAGGCACTCATGTGGACAATCTGTAGCTGTTTGGCATCATCATCATTCCTGACTCTGAATTTACATGCTACAAACAAGCAATCATTTTCTTATACTTATTTACATATTAGCACTTCACAGTGAAAAGTATGCTATACTGTTAATACAGTGAAGAAGAATGTGTTCAGGGTAACTAAGCAGAACAGTGGCATCACCAGAATACCTGCTTCAGTTGTTAAACAACAGTAACAACAAACAATGGAAGGCTTCTAGTTTCTCTCTACAATTCTGTGTTTTGATTGAAGGTTCTTGTACAACATACTTTATTTGTTACTGTTGTTCATGTGTCTGGGCTGCATGGGTGCCATTTTATGACCCTTTGTGGGTGTACTTGGTGGAGTAACCTGGACGTGGTCAGAAAAGATATCACACAGCTGAAGGGAACTGGGAGAGTCTTTTCTTTCCCTTGGGTACTCTGAATAAACTGTCTAGTGTACCTGCATTTTGACTATCACCCATCAAAAGAGGTCAGGTGTGGAATTCGCTACTTGTGGTATCATGCTGGCAGTCAAAAAATTTCATATCTTGGAGTATTTTGGATTTTTGGATTAGGGATGTTCAACCTATATTGAGTCTTCTGATCTATGAACATGATATATCCCTCCATTTATTTAGGTCATCTTCAGTTTCTTTCAGGAATGTTTTGTGATTTTTATTCATTCATTTATTTGTTAATTTACACATGAAACCTTATTTATACTGATTCTACCAGGTATAGTATTAACCACAATAATTAAAACACTGTAGAGTGTGCAATAGTAAAGGTATGTACAAAGTGTATATGTGGGAAGGACACAAGTGGGAATGGCCGTCCATGCCTGGGGT